CTCTGATAACTTTCATCTTCAATTGTATTAGTGTACAACCAGTGTAATTGTTTTAAAAGTTCCAATGTTGACTTGTTTTTTTCAATAACTTTGCAATCAAGTTTAGGTGGTAAATTTGGGTCTACAACATATGGTTCACTTGAATATTTTAACTCTATCTCATATTGTTGATCCAAGTCCCATTTGGAATCAGCTGTAATATACCAATGAATAGCTGCATAAATTGTCATATCAAGTGGAATACGTTGATCTCCAATATAAAATTGCCAATGTGTTTCCTTATAGGAAAAAAAATCATTGTCTTGGTGTTGACTGTTTGATGATAATGATGAAATGGTACTTGTGGCATCATCATCATCATCATCATCATCATCATCATCATCATCATCATCATCATCATCGTGAAACTCTGCTGGTCCATCATAAAATATATTATTTTCATCTAACCCTTCATTATAGAATAAATCCTCAGCGTGTTCGATAATATCAAATTCTTCATCAAAATACTCACCATTATCATCAACATGATCATCAATTTCTTCATTATAATTTCTTTCGCCGTTTTCAATACCATCATCACCATTTTCAATATCAACTTCATGTTCATCTTCAACTGTGTCAATGTCATTTGTTTCTTGTTCATAATCATTATTATTATTTAGTTCCTCATTATTGTCTCCTTGCGAAATAGAAAGTTCTAACCTATTCTGTTCTGCAAATAATTCATCAAGTTCTTCACGCTCATCCTCATCCTCATCAAGATCAAAGTTTTGTCGCCTACTAGTATATGAGTCACTTAAACCATCTTCATCCTCATCTTCATCTTCTCCTAGTATATTATTGGGTTGTTGTTGCTGCTCCTGCCGCCGTCGCCTCCGCTGTTGTAAATGTAGCAGTTGTTGACGTCTATTAAAAATTTCTTCTGACGAATCATCATCATCATCATCATCGTCGTCGTCGTCGTCGTCGTCGTCGTCGTCATCATCTATTTGTTCTTGTACTGTAAATGGACCTCTTAAGTTTCTTATATCATTATTTCTCATCATAATATTTGTCCCAATGTCACTAAGACAATTATTATTATCATCAAGTTTTATTCTATTGGCTAATTCTCTAAATCTAGTAAATAATTTTGTCGTGATTTTAAGTTCTTTGTCTCGATATTTTATTCTTAATTTAACATTTCCACAAATCATCATTTTAATGCCTGGTCTAGAAAAACTTGTGGATTGTGGTGGTGTGAATTCTAGTACATTATTATCAGATTTAAAAGGCTGATAAATGTTTGACAACATTTCCGAATATATTTTGTCTTCATTTTCTACTTCTTTGTCAACAACAACATCATCATCATCAACAACAATATCATAATTATAATTATAGTCATCCTTATCAACATCATTGGTGTCGTCATCTTGTTCTAATTTATCCACTGAAAAATCAATATAGTTATAAAAATTCTCTCTCTCCATAAAATATAACAATGCTATTACAATTTTTTTGAAAGGTGCTTTCCACACATCAGATTCATTTAAAGGTTTAATAAATATTTTTGTAAATATGTATTGATTTTTAGGATTTTTAAGACAGTAAGATAACTTTTCAAAAAAATGAAGTTCTTTTAGACTCAGATATGATACATTTGTATCCAAAAGAAAACGATACAAGTTTACTAGTTTGTTTTCAAAATCTGTAGTAAGTTCATTTACAATTTTTTCTAATTCACTTTTCTTAAATATGATACAGCTAACCGGTTTTAGACGTTGCTTTTTCTGCTGTTGCATCCTCTTAGAAGGACTTGTTGTTGATGATGGTGCAGCAGTTGCAAGCTTGCTGCTGCTAGTACTGCTGGAACTATCATTATTATTATTACTACCACCAGAATTTTGTCCACGAGTTCTTTGATTATTGTTACTGGATCTTCTACGATTTAGAGTGTTATTGTCTAGATTACTTCTTCTAAAATTATCTCTATAATCTGGGTTGGTTTTTCGAGTTCTTAGGCCATAACGTTGATTATTATTGTTGCTCATCTTTTGATTAATTTATAAGTAAAAACTGTTATACATGTTAAACACAATTCATTCATCACGCTATGACAAAACCGAATGCCTCGTGACATGTCAGTATAATGAAAGAACCAATCAAAATCATTCTGAAAAAAAACATCAGGAAATTAAAACTCCTGGATCAAAATCGACCAGCATCCTCCGTATAATGCTGGCTGACCAATTTTGACCCCAGCATAAGTTTTTAATTTCCAGATACATATGTATATTAATATTAAATGGATCAATTAGTTAATCACAACATAGTGGACATTTGATTTCATTGGCTAAATTTTGTGATATTTTTGACGATCACCATTCAAAAACATCACTCATAAAATTAATTTTTATTGGTTAATTTTATATAATAATTTTTCATTGTTCGTGTTAACAAAGTGGTTTCTTTAATTAATCTTTTTAACAAGGCAATGGTTTTCCCTTTTTTTAATGAGGTGAATTTTTTTATTTGCATTTCTAACAAAATAATGGTTTTTTAACACCACAAAATAAAAAAATCATATATAAAAAGACAAGTAAATTTATAAAATTAAATTGAAAAAAAAAAAGTTATAACAACCATAAACCAAATATTTAAAATAATTTAAAATGCCAAAACCTAAAAATCATGGCCCATGTGTTCTTGAAGGTTGTGAATCTCATGTTCCATTTAGAAAATTCACTGAAGCTGTAAATGCAGTTCTATAATAAATAAAACATATGAAACTTATAATTATCTTCAAGTTGATGATCAACTTTGTCATTTACATTATTTATCAATTGTGGTACCAGATAGAGGTGGAAAAAATGCTGTTAAAAAGCAAAGATCAGGAGAATTTGGAGAAATTCATATTGTTGAAAGTGATTACATGGAAGTTGTATTATCTCATATTTTGGAAAATTCAACTGATGATATTGATGTAAATTTAGATTATTGGTCAGATATAAATATCAATTACCATGAGGATGGAAAAAGTCTTTATCAAAAGAAAATTTTGATATCTTATTAAATAAAATAAAAGGAATGCAAAAAAAATTAAATGAATATGAAAAAAACACTTCAATGAATTTGGTGAAAGAATTAAATTGCTGTCACAAATCTTATATAAAAGACAAAGACAATTAAATTTAGATATGGATATGATTGAACAACATGAACCAAAATTAAAAGGTTTTTTTGATGAATTAGTCTATATTTTTTTACCAATTAATAGATCTGCATATAATATAGAAATGCAAAAAGGTCACTTGTTGGGTTCTGTTATTTGTTGACTGGTCTAAGAAATAAATTCAATAATTCTCTTCAATTAGAAATTGGTCTTTACCTATTTTCATGTGGTGTAACTGCAGAGTGTATTGATGTAATGGCAAGTCATAGGCAGAAGTTTGTCTGATTAGCTAATTTTGCCGATCAATTTCAATTGAGTTCGCATATTATTTATATAGTTTAAAGTACTTTTTAGGATTTTTAAGAATACAACGTTTCACTAATAAAAAAATAAAAAATCATTGCAAAAGCCTTTAAAATAATACCAACGTTCACTGTGCAAAAGAATCAAAAAAAAATCATACTCCTGACATACTTTACTTAGAAGACAAAAATGCCATTTACTAGTAGTATTACAGGGCCATGTGCGATTACTATATGCAAGAGACAGTCAGTCATCCAACTGGAGAAAGGTAACTGAACACGTTATTTCCAAAGGTCAAACTAACAAAACTTTTCCAAATTATGTTCAACTAGGCGATAAACAAAAATTTGTTTCTATTTACTATTTTATGAATGAAATCATTAACAATTGGGGAGTTTTATTATTTAATATTAATTAATAATTTATTTTATTTAATGCTGAAATTTATTATATATATTTTCTAACATGGAATGAGTATTTCTCTATTATTCAGCGATATAGCTATTTAATTATAAACAACACAAAACAGGATGAGCAGACAAATAATTAGATCATTTGGGGTTTTGTGGGAAACTTTAATATTTACATTTTAATTAGCATTAAAATTGATTAAATAAACATGATGAATTTCAAAACTGCAGAACGATACACACACGGCTCTGCCTACACGGAAAAAAAGACAGGAGAGTTGACTCATTTAACCTGATACATGCAGATGTTCTTGACCCCGTCATGGAAAAAACGTTGTACGATTTATAACTAAAGGTAAATAAGAATCTATTTTAATATTTTAATGCTGAAATTTATTATATATTTTCTAACATGGAATGAGTATTTCTCTATTATTCAACAATATAGCTATTTAATTATAAACAACACAAAACAGGATGAGCAGACAAATAACTAGATCATTTGGGGTTTTATAGAAAACTTTAATATTTACATTTTAATTAGCATTAAAATTGATTAATTAAACACGATGAATTTCAAAACTGCGGAACGATACACACACAGCTTTGCCTACATGGAAAAAAAGACAGGAGAGTTGACTCATTTAACGTGATACATGCAGATGTTCTTGACCCCGTCATGGAAAAAACGTTGTACGATTTGGTCATCACAATTATATATAACTAAAGGTAAATAAGAATATATTTTAATGCTGATATTGCTATATTAATTATAAGAACACAAACAATATGAGTAATATATTATCATTCTGCATATAATTAGATATTTAGAAGTAATATTTTAACATTTTAAAAAAAACAGTATGGATTTTATAACTTTAATGTTATACCTTTAAAATTGATTCTTGTTTCAAATTCATTAAAGGATTTTTTGATTTTAAATTAATATCAAGTTTTGAATAAAGAATTATTTTGCTACTGCATAAGATCGACTAATAAAAATTATGATGATAATAATTCAAGTTCCTTTATTTATTAGATTGTTTTTTACACGTAAAATACAATAAATGTTATAGCCCAATCAACCAAAACTCCTATAATAGTAATCAAACAAAAAAAAAAACAAAAATAAACTATAACTGAAGAAATTGCCATATTGTATCATCCCATGGGACTAAAATGTCATCTGCAGATTCCTTAATGTCATCATTATCATCTTCAAGAATAGAACCGGGATCTTCACCTTCAGCACTACTATTTGAATTAATTTGATGCAAACTTTCTAGAAGTGATTGAACATGTTTATCAACGCCATCCTTAATAAAATCTAAACAATGTAAGCACTTGGACCCATCTTGGCTAAAACATGTGTTATGATATGCATGGCCACATGGCAGTACCTGCCCTGTTTCTTCAGTGATTATAGTTTTAGTAATAAAACAATTAGAAGAATCACAACCATACAAACTAGGCTTATGTGAAGAGCTATATCCTAAAGGTAGATGACAAAGCCATGCCTCCTTCATCTTCATTGCTGGAATAGGAATACTGTTTCCTGTATTAGCACTTCCTTCCTTCTTACTCCTTTTTAATGGGCGTTTCATAGAAACCTGTGGTGGAATTAAAAATTGAATTTTCTTATGATTAATACGAGTATAGATATCAGTAAAACAATCTAGAAGATAACATGCAGTTTTTCGTGTCAAAGTTTCAATATTCCGAGAAGAATACTGATAAACTGCCCAAGATGAAGTGTGAACAAAGTTTTCCTTAAAGTCATCATCATCAAATCGTAAATAATTGATATTTCGTGCTGTTTTTATTATTTGGTCTGCTGTAAGATGTTTCTCTGTACTGCGCCGTAAAAGACTATGAAAGATTTCTACAGGTGAATCAGAGAATTTTGGCAGTTCAGCATTCATTATCTCTAGAATTGAATGACTTTTGGATTGCCAATAAAAAACGTCAGAAAGAAACATTAAAGGTGCTTTAGTATAATTTTTACGATGGAACCTAAGAAAAATAACCCAAACTCGAAAACAAGATTCAATGTAAGAGTTAAAATCACCAGCCCGAAAAAACAAAGCATAAATATCAAGAACCAATGGAATCATGTTATCTAATAGGTCTTTAAGTGCTATGTATTCTACATCTTTACATGCATATCCAAATTTAATTTCAATTATCTTTGAAATTTCTTGCCATGCACTACGTGAGAGTTCCAACAGTAAATTTATACGCCATGGTTTTGGTTTTTGAGCAAGTTTTTTCCTGGCACCAAATATATAACTGTACATTCCAGAGAAAAATGGTTGATATTGAAGAAATATTAACTCACGGCTATTCAAAGAGATATGCAATGGTCCCATCATTGGAAGAAATGATAAAACTTTGTTAGTAATTCCAGAAGAGTTACCATAGATAAGACACTGTGATATAGCAGTTCTTAGGAATATTTGACCAGGCCAATCAGCAACAACTGGGATGACATTGCCATCTTCAATATATCTATTTATTGTTGGAACAGATGCTGCAACATTAATAGCATTTATATAAGCTTCCATTGATTGAAGTTTACTCTCCAAGAGATCCACAAGTACAGCATCTTTTAGTGATCTTGTGTTCCTTTTTTCTTTTAAACGAACATCATAGCTATGGACTGTTAATTCTTCAAGCTTTGTTTTATCACTCACAAGGTGAAACCCCCAACGTTGGTTATGAGAAAGTGAATACGTTGACATAAAATTGTTTTCAATTCCAATTTTGATTAGCTGAGCTTCAATTAACGCAGGATTATGAATATCTTCTCTTGGTATTGCTGGTTGATTCTTAATTGGGTTAAGTAAAATAGTAGCAAGATGTTCTGCACTTGATGTTGTGGTAGTGTCAGGCATTCTTTTAATGTGTATACTGTGATAATCGTCAATATTTAAAACTAGAGCACTATTAGTACTATCTGCAAGATTTGATTCCACAGTTGTCAAATGTTTTTTAGATATAGCATCCTTGTGGTAAGCAATTGAACGAGATGTTATTGTCATACCTAATGTTGCCAAGGTGTCTATCGTTGAATCAGGTGTCCCAGTAGAATCTAAATACATCCCTAGATCTCTTTTTGCATTATTAACAAACTTATTTCTAATACCACAAATAAAATAACATAAAAATACCAACTGTTTTGATACATTTTCCATTGTAGATTTGCTTTTTTTTAACGGGTTGATTGATAAATATAATTCATCAAAAAAATACTTCAGCCGTTTATCTTCTAATTCCATAACTGCACAAAATTCTTCAAATATCCAAATTGGTGGCAATCCTTGATGTTCTCGTTCATAGAGAATATCTGTGACTATCCCTACTGCTTGTGAAAAAGTTAAATTATTATTATTATCTTTACTAGAAGTTTCTATATAAATTTCTGGCTCATTATGATGGGACTGTTCTAATGCATGTTGCTGAAATTCGATTGCACTCCTTGTTATGATTCCATTATAACAGTTTAAACAAATTGTATCGCCTAGTTGAACATAATTTGGAAAAGTTTTGTTAGTTTGACCTTTGGAAATAACGTGTTCAGTTACCTTTCTCCAGTCAGAAGACTGTCTCTTGCATATAGTAATCGCACATGGCCCTGTAATACTACTAGTAAATGGCATTTTTGTCTTCTAAGTAAAGTATGTCGGGAGTATGATTCTTTTTTGATTCTTTTGCACAGTGAACGTTGGTATTATTTTAAAGGCTTTTGCAATGATTTTTTATTTTTTTATTAGTGAAACGTTGTATTCTTAAAAATCCTAAAAAGTACTTTAAACTATATAAATAATATGCGAACTCAATTGAAATTGATCGGCAAAATTAGCCAATCAGACAAACTTCTGCCTATGAAACTGAACCATTCCCATCCCTAATCAGTATGTGCTAAATTGAATTGTACACCCACCTGTCGCCTGCCTTTTTTAAGTTTTATATAATCAAAACCCAGAATTCAAAAAACAATAAATAATAATAATAAGTTGATTGTGTGAATACAACAATTAATAAAAACAACAATAAACATAGACAACAATAACATAGATACAAACCATACTGGAATTTTAGATCAAAGTCTTGTAACATTGACTAAATGTAAATTGAGGCAGAAGAGTGTTCAACTCTTAACACCTAAGGGTGCTGACATATATTAGCTAATATTTTAGGGGGTTTGGGGATAACAGAAATCTTAGGTCACACATAATCTCATAAATAACATGATCATAATGGCTTCAGTGAAAGATCTGCATTTTTATAATGTAAGTGTTTCAGTTTGGGAATGATCTACATGTAAACCAATTGTCATTTGCACAAAAAATTGTATTGCGCTTTTTGTCTACAGGATGATATGGCAATTAATTCTCATATTCTTATATGGGGTATGCTGCAACAAAACCAGACAAAGTGAACATTGGTATTACCAAAAATTTCAGGGATCAAAATTTGTAAAGTGATTATTAAAATCTCCCATTTGTTTGTTATCTTTGTTTTTTCCTTAAATATCAAGTGATATAGAATTACTCCTATATAAAATAATTAATATGAAATTAATTTACATCAGATCTACTATGGAACCCAAGAATTATAGTACAATCAGAAGTATTTTAAAAAAGGAACAAGGCGAAAAAATTGCTCCATACATTTTCAAAATAAATGATACTCAAACACTGGAAGCTTATCTAAGAAAAGAAAGGATTACTTATGAAATTTACCAAGAGGAAAGAAAAATAATAAATGTTGGAAAAAGAAAACATCATGAAGGTGTATTATTACCCACTAAAAGACAAAAATCCTTAGAAGAAAAATAATCTTATTATTACAGTATTGATCTATTTTTTTATTTTAATTCTTTTAAATCAGCAATTATAAAACTTAAAAAAGTTATACCTGCTATTCATCATCAAATAGATTTATCATCATAATTTTCTTTATTCTTTGAAATATTTTTTTTATTCATCAGCAGCTTTGGCAAAATCTTCATCTTTTAAGTCAGAAACAGTAGTTTTAACAGTAATATTGTAACTGTTTTATTATCTTTGGATTATCATCAAGAGGAAAATTTCCTCAATCCTCTTTAAATTATTTTCTTATTTTCAATCAAGGTCATTTTTTAACTTCAATTTGAGCAACTAATTGACCGTTTTGCTGTTGTAATTGGGTTAATTGAAATTTTAAATCATTGATTTCCTTTTCTTTAGCACTTAATTTATCAACTAGTTCTTTAGGGGTTAATTTTTTTAATCTTTCTAGTTCAGTCTCCAATTCTTTTATTCTATCCAAAAGTTCTTGCTTTTGCCTCTTACCTCATTCCTCAGACTTTTTTTGAAATTTGACTACTTCTTCCCTTTCAATTTCTAAGGTTTCTTCAGTCTTGTTTAGTTGTTCTTGTAAGGAATTTATTTGTTGTTCATAAAAAAATGCCATTCCTCCATTTTGATGAGGTAAAAGAGGAAGTCCTTTTTCATTTTTCTCTTCTTTGCAATCACAAGTGTATCTAGTCTTTAACCTTCCGCAATCACACTTAGGCAACTCATCATTTTCAAATTTATCTTTGCAACCTTCACAAGCCTTATCACTTTCAATCATTTCGCCAGTTGCTTTGCTTCGTGTCCTTATCTGACAAACTGCTTTTTTTAAATCAAAGCAAAAAACACAAGTGGAATTACTGCTATGTCATTCTTCTAACTCTAAAATAGTGTAAAGCAATTCTTTCATAATAATAAAGTAAACTAATTAACTTTTACTTCTATTCGAGCAGTAAATTCTCGGGTTTGATGTTTTTTATTTTCTACCAATTGTTGAAGTTTTTGGAACTTGGTTTTAATTCTTGAACCTAATTTTTGGAAAGCATTTCGTTTTTTAGGTAGAGCAGGCAAGGGTTTTCTTTCTAAATAAAGTTGTCTATTTAGTTCTTCTTCTCTTTCCTCACTTTTTGCTAACATTTTTGATTTCTCTTCTGACTCTTCTTGTAATTTTGTATTTTTTGCTACCTCCTCTTCAAGCATTTTATCAGACTTTTGTAGCATTAGTGATTTTTCTTTGAAATCTTCTGCTTGAGCTTTACTTCATTTTTCACCAGTTGCTACAACTTCCTTAACTTGTTCCTGTTCTATTTCTACTCTTTCTTCTAACTCTTCTACCTCTGCTTCTAATTCTTTAATTCTTTCAATCTTGCTTTCTATAATGTCTTTAAGAATTATATCTTTAGCAGGTTTGCCTCAAATATTACCTCCTTCTTCTATTTTAGAAAAAATATGAGCTCTTTGATTTCATAGTTTCCAATCTTTTTTCAATTCAGTGGCTAACTCAGTGTCTTCAAAGTAATCTATAATAATTCTCTCAAC